ATCGCCTGCTGCCAGACAGTCCAGTTTCTCCCCGTATGAGTCCTGGGTCCCCAGAGACTTCCCGGAACCGGAGTTCAGAGCCGTCGGGAGCTTGTGACTCCCTCCGGATTCAAAAAGACAGCCGCGTCCTCAGGTGCCAGACCCTTTCCGCGCGCATGAGCCCCCTACCTCTGCGCTTTACTTCCGCAGCTCCTCTGGTTCTCAGTGTGCTTTTCTTTCCTTCTAGTTGTAGAATTTACACTCAGCCAGCCTTCCTGTAGTTCTGGATGATGTCCGTTTTGTGTTTTTGATGTATTATTCAATTGTTGTGGGAGGCAGCAATTTCCCGGTGTTTATCTATGCCGCCATCTTAGTTTCCTCTGACACCATTTATTTGAATAGGTCAATGTTCATTCAACTGGCCAGGACTCTATTCTATTTTAAATTAAAATTTGTATATATGGTATAAGGTAAGGCTTCAAATTCATTCTTTTGCATGTGGATATACAGTTTTCTCAAAACCATTTTTTGAAAAAACTGTACTTTTTCAATGAATGATCGTGGTACCCTTGTCAAAAATTGCCAGTATCACACTGCCTTTTTAAAAAAAAAAAAAAAAAGTCTTACCTGAGGACATGTTTACTGATTTTAGAGAGAGGGGTGATACTCCAACCCACTAATCCACACCGGCCAGTGCTGCTTTGCTTACTGTAGCTTTCTAGTAACTTTTGAAATCAGGAAGTGTGTCCTCCATCTTTGTCCTTTTTTCAACATTGTTTTTGGCTATTCTGGGTTCCTTGAGAGTTCATATGAATTTTAGGATGGATTGTTTTATTTCTGCAAAAACGTCCTTGGTATTTTGATAGATATTGCTATAGATTTCTTTGTATAATATTGGCAGTTTAACGACATTAAGTCTTCCTATTTATGAACACATATGTATTTCCATTATTGCTATCTTCCTTAATGTCTTTCAGAAATATATTAATGATCCAATTTTTCTGAATTGTCACCAGAATTTTGGTATTGTCATTTTTATTTTAGCTTTTCTAATAGGTGTGTAGTAATATCTCATTCTGATTTTAATTTGCATTTCCCTAATGGATAATGGTGGTGAACATGTTTTCATGTGCCATCTCTGTGTCCTCTTTGAAGAAATGTTCCTTCATGCTTGTTACCCATTTTCTAATTGTATTGCATATGTTTTACTGTTGAATTTTGCGAGTTATTAATTTATGTGTTCTGTCAGATATGTGATTTGAAAATATGTTCTCCCAATCTTAGCTTGTCTTTTATATATATATATATTTGATTTCAGAGAGGAAGGGAGAGGGAGAGAGAAATAGATACATCAATGATGAGAGAGAATCACCAATCAGCTGCCTCCTGCATGCCCCCAACTAGGGATTGAGCCTGCAACCCGGGCATGTGCCCTTGACCGGAGTCGAACCTGGGACCCTTCAGTCTGCAGGCCGACGCTCTATCCACTGAGCCAGACCAGCTAGGGCTTAGCTTGTCTTTTCATTCTCTCAACAGGGTCTTTTACAAAGCAACATTTAAAATTTTGATGAAATCTAATATATCATATTTTTCTTTTATGGTTCATATTTTTGGTATTAAGTCTAAGAAAGAACTTCATAAACCTTGAGTCCTAAATTTTTTTTCTAAAGATTTTATACTTTTACATTTAAAAATTATCAATGTATGATCTATTTTGAGTTAATTTTTGTGTAAGGTGTAAGGTTTAGGTTCATGTTTTTGTCTATATATCCATTTGCTCCAACACCATTTATTGAGAAGACTACCCTTCTTTCACTGAATTGCTTTTGAAGCTTTGCCCTAAATTAGTTGGCTATATTTGTCTGGGTCTATTTATGGCTACTCTGTACTGTTCCATTGAGCTATGTGTCTGTCTCTCAACCAATACCACTCAGTCTTGATTACTTTAGCTGTCTAAGTCTTGGCATTATATATAGTGATTCCCCCCACTTTTGTTCTCCCCCCCCATCCTCCACCAAAAAAAAAAATTGTTTTAGCTATTCTGGTTCCTTTGCCTTTTCATGTAAGTTTTAGAGTTATGTTGTCTATGTCTACAAAAAATCTGTTGGGATTTGATATGAGTTGTGTTAATCCTGTATATCAATTTGGAGAGAATGGACATCTACATTATGTTGAATTTTCCAATCCATGGACACATTACGTCTCTCCATTTACTTAAATATTCTTTGATTTCCTTTATCAGTGTTTTGTAGTAAGTAGTTTATAAGTCTTATGCATGTTTTGTTAGATTTATATTTAAATAATATTGTACTTTTAATTTTGGTTTCCATGTGTTTGTTGTTTTATGTAGAAATACAATTGAGCCGAAACCGGTTTGGCTCAGTGGATAGAGCGTCGGCCTGCGGACTGAGGGGTCCCGGGTTCGATTCCGGTCAAGGGCATGTACCTGGGTTGCGGGCACATCTCCCGTGGGAGATGTGCAGGAGGCAGCTGATCAATGTTTCTCTCTCATCGATGTTTCTGACTCTCTATCTCTCTCCTTTCCTCTCTGTAAAAAATCAATAAAATATATTTAAAAAAAGAGAAATACAATTGATTTTTACATAGTGATCTTGCAAACTTGTTGAATTCACTTATGAGTTCCAGAAGTTTTTTTGTAGATTCTGTGATATTCCCTACTTCATTTTCAATCTGTATGCCTTTTATTTTCTTGCCTTACTACATTGGCTAGAACTTCCAGTATTCTGTTGAATAGGAGTGGTGAGAGTAGACATCCTTTTCTTGTTTCTCATTTTAGAGGAAAACTCACCATTAAGTGTAATCCAAAACTTTGCTTTGAAGGTTTTTGTAGACATACATTATCAAGTTGAGGAAACTTGTCTATTCCTAGTTTTCTGAGTGTTTTTATTATAAATGGGTATTAAATTTTGTCAAGTGATTTTTCTATATCAGTAATATGGTTGTGTGAATTTTTTTTCTTCTTTAGCTTTTCATAATGGTGGATTAAATTGTTCGATCTACCCATATGAACCAACCCTGCATCCCTGGGATAAACCCCCTCTTGGTCATGGTGTATAAAGGAAGTCCTCACTTAGCATCAATGATAGGGTCTTGGAAACTGCAACTTGCAAGACTAATTTTACCATAGGCTAATTTATAAAAACAAGAGTTAAATTTCTTTGGTATATTTCTGGTCACAAAAACCACCAAACTTGCAAATAAAGACTCAAAACACTTCTAATATTAAACATTGAAGTAAATGTGAGCTATACTACATTTAAGAAAGACTAATAAAAACAAGTAAAGTAATTAATTTCTAATCCACTTATTTCAGTCCAGGGTTGCAGGTGGCTAGAACCTCTCCTGGCAGCTCAGGGCACAAGGCAGGGACCAATCCTGGACAAGACACCCTTGCATAGCAGGCTACAGTCATGCACACACCTACACCCACACTCACTCAGACTGGGACAAATTAGACACACCAGTTCACCTAATGTGCACATCTTTGGGTGTGAGAGGAAATCGGAGTACCTGGAGAAAACCCGCTCCGATTTGGAGAGAACATGCAAACTCCACACATATAGCGGCCCTGGCTGGGAATTGATTTTTTTTTCTCATCAATTTTATAACTCTTATTTGAGGACCTGCTGTAATTCTTTTTGTATGTTTTGAGTTCTACTTGCTGGTAGTTTATTAAGGTTTTTATATCTATATTCATGATAGATATTGGTCTGTTGGTTTTTTTGTTTGTTTATTTTTTTTGGTAATGTCTTTACATGGTTTTTGGTATTACATGGAAGATTGTGAAGATCTTGAGGGAAGACAGTGCTAATGATCGCTAAGTCATGGAGTGGATGATTTGGGCTATGGGAATATCAGAAAGAACCCAGAGGAGAAAAGGAATCCGGGAAGGGAATTAGTATTGTTAGCTGGAAATATTGTTGCTTGGGTGAGTGTAGGGCAGTGTACCAGAGCAGACTTAGTGAGGGTTGGGGATGCAATCTGGTTGTCATGGATGGAACAGTTAGTATAGTTGGCTTGTGGAGAACCTTAGTTAATAATGATGTGATAGGGCTGGAATATTTTCATGGTGG